ACTTTGAAGAGAAAGACTCTAGAATCACTGAAGTTCAGCCCCTGAGTCTGCGTCATGTATCACACGTGTAACTGTGAGGAAGCTGTAACCTCACCGGTGACCTACCTTGGCGTCTGGACAGCGCAGGCCAGCTGAAGGGGCTCGGTGAAGACCGTAGAATAAGTGCCCCCTTATCCTAGGGATCCCCCCTTTTTTGTTTCCAGGAAAATGCCTGAGTTGTTTTTACAGGTTGTTGTTTTATAGGTTGTTTCAAACTTACTAAGGGCTTCCCAGGTGGTACTAGTGGTGAAGAATCCGCCCACCAATGCAAGAGACATGGGTCAATCTCTGGGTTGGGAAAGATCGCCTGGAGGAGGAAATGGCAACCCACTCGAGTACTCTTGCCCGGAAAGTTCCCCGGACAGAGGCATCCTGGGAGGCTCCAGCCCATGGGGCCGCAGAGAGTCGAGCGCGACTGAGCAACTAAGCACACATACTTCCAGCGTAAACTTCACAGGATCTAGACCGTGAACCCTCCGGGAAGAGCAGTATATGGTTTTTTTTAGGTTTAAAATGAGTTCTCAACAACTACCAGCCAGTTGATTTCGGGGGTAAATCATGAACAATTAATTCTCTTGGAAAATGTCAAGAACACATGTCTGATAAAGAACTGAATTTGTGGCATATGCCCATCAAATACTTTGTATCCCCCCCTACCATCAGCTGCAGGTCCCCAGGCAAGCTCTGACCAGAAAAGTTGCCTCTCCTGGGAGAAATGAAGGAAGCTGAATCTGTGTCTACCCGCTGCCTCCCAGGTCTACTGCGCTCCTCCGCACTGGAGTATCTGCTTCTGCTTTTCTTGTCTTTGTCCCCCTTGACTGGAAAGTGAAAGTTTTAGTCGCTCAGTTCTATTTGCATTTTTGCGACCCCATGGACTCTAGCCTGCCGGGCTCCTCTGTCCATGGGATTCTCCAGGCAAGAACACTGGAGCGGGTAGTCATGCTCTTCTCCCGGGGATCTTCCCCACCCAGGGATCAAACCTGGTCTCAGGCAGATTCTTAACCAACTGAACCATGACTGGACTGTCTGACTTTTTCAGCAGTGGCTACTTTTAAGGCTCTTGACACATTTTACTTAACTGCTTTCCACAAAGGAAGTGTACCAGCGCTGCCACCCACGGCGCAGGAGTGCCAGTCTCGGCGTTCTCACCAACTGAGTGTGTGCAAATGGTGGCAGGGGTGGCAGTGGGATGAGAGGCTCCAGCCCAGTGAAGGGAGACACAGTGGGAATGAGAGGCTCCAGCCCCGTGAAGGGAGACACAGTGGGAATGAGAGGCTCCAGCCCAGTGAAGGGAGACACAGTGGGAATGAGAGGCTCCAGCCCCGTGAAGGGAGACACAGTGGGAATGAGAGGCTCCAGCCCAGTGAAGGGAGACACAGTGGGAATGAGAGGCTCCAGCCCCGTGAAGGGAGACACAGTGGGAATGAGAGGCTCCAGCCCAGTGAAGGGAGACACAGTGGGAATGAGAGGCTCCAGCCCCGTGAAGGGAGACACAGTGGGAATGAGAGGCTCCAGCCCAGTGAAGGGAGACACAGTGGGAATGAGAGGCTCCAGCCCCATGAAGGGAGACACAGTGGGAATGAGAGGCTCCAGCCCAGTGAAGGGAGACACGAGACTGGATCGTGCAGGACTGGACGACAGCTAGAGGCACAGGGGTGACTCACATTTAGCTTAATATGGACAAGTGGGTAGATAGAGAGGCATATCTAGGTATAGCTAGGGCCCATATCTTGGTTTTTAATAGCATTTTCTAACATTCATCAGGGGTCCTTGAAAAAAATGGCTGATTAAGGGGTTGGGAAGAAAATACACAAGATGAACCTGGAGCACCTTCTAGTGCCGGCAAATTAAAAAGTGCTCAGAAAACAAATGATGGGGGCATGTCAGAGGGTCACGGGAGCCAACACCAGAGAGCGCCCAGTGGTGAAAGCAGGAACAATTTGAGCAATAAAATAAATAACACAGTATTAAATTATAACCCAAAGTATAAGATAAATATCCATGAGTCCACACCAATAAAAATTAATGATTAAATAAATCATTGAAAGGGAGAAGAGAGAAGTCTCCAGGCAGAAGAATTCCAAATAATTAATGCAAATATGCCATCAACGAAGTGGAGCATAACTCCCCATTCCTTAAATGTGCATTGCCTAGTAACTTCCTTTCAAAGACTACAGTACAGTGGTTTTGTTTTGTCTCTATTGGGGTACAGTTATTTACAATGCTGTGTTAGTTTCAGGTGTGGAGCACAGTGAATCAGTTACACATACAGATATATCCACTCTTTTTTAGCTCTTCTCCCATACAGACCATTGCAGCGGACTGAGTAGAGTCCCTGTGCTACTCTGGGTCCTTATGAGATATCTATTTTATACACAGCAGTGTGTAAATGGTAATCCCAACCTTCCAATTTATCTGGACCCTCGCGTGTCCCCCTCCCAACCATAAGGTTATTTTCTACATCTGTGACTATTTCAGTTTCGTACATAAGTTCATCTGTACCCTCTGTTTTCAATTCCACATACAAGTGATATCATATGACATCCGTCTTTCTCTGTCTGACTTACTTCACTCAGTATGACAAAAAGTATGGCATGAAAAGGGAGAAGAAGAGACCTTTACGTTGGAGAAGCCTGACATCCTCCGGCAGCCAGGTGACCAGGCGCCAACCGTGATAGGCTGTGTCAACAGTATGCATCCTGAATATGATGAGGAGAATGACACTTCACCTCTGTGGTCTTCTTCCCTCCCAACCCGCAAGCCCTGACTAACCGTGAGGAAAACATTAGGCAAAACCAAATTGAGGGGCATCCTATAATATACCTGGCTAGTACTTCTCAAAACTGTCAAGGTGATCAAAAACAATGAAGTCTGAGAAACTAAGGAGATGTGATGATTAAAGGTAATGTGATAGCCTGGACAGAATAGTAGGACAGAAAAAAGACATTAGGTAAAAACCAAGAAAACCCAAATAAAACATGGACTTTAGTTAATAAAAATGTATCACTATTGATTAATTAGCTGTGACAAGTGTACCATCGTAATATAGTAAGATACTGAATACAAGGTATGTGGTAACTCTCTGTAATATTCTTGTGATTTTTCTGTTAATGCAAAACTATTATAAAATTAAAGTTTATTAAACATTCTTTTCAAAAAGGCTTAGAAATTACTCAGCATATATAGGTGTTCAACAAATGGCAGATTTATTATTTTTTAAATGACTTTTTGCCATTTTGAAAAGTAAAGGAAACATTTTTTTGGTTGAATTTGAACTTCTGTGATTACCTATGAGGTTGGATCTTTTTTTTTTTTTTAATTTCTCTTTGCTTCTTACATTCATGTCTTATATCTAGTTCTTTGGCTTCTTGGTTAGGCTGTTGATCTGGCTTCTCTAGGATAATCAAACCTCCCCGTTTATCAGTGACCATCTTCATATATGTCTGTTGTCCCAGTTAATGATTATATGATCCCCTTTCATTTAGAAAGATACACCATATGGTCGCCCTACTGTGTCCTGCCGCTGGCCTCCTGTATCGTGTCTCCCACATAACTGGCCCACCATCTAGCTGCCAGTCCTTCCTCTGTCCCTGCCCAGGGCCCACAACATGCCCTGATGATGAAAAAGGGTAAACTTTTTGGTGGCTACTAGTCTTCTGCTAAAAATACTCAAAGTATTCTGTTAGATGACTGCATTTTATAAAAGATACGGTCTTCAGTAGAAATTACAACCCAGTTCAGTATCATGATGCTCAATTTTCCATAGCTGGAAAGAACACAGTGTTCTAAATATGTGAAGTCCCCTCCCCAAATCCCGTGTTCTGAAGGACATTTTCTGCTGCTCCCGTCCTCTGAGCTGGACTGCATTCAAGGCCACCCACCCCCAGAGGCAGGCGGAAGGGTACAGAGTTGTATGCAGCATCTCACAGCCTCCTCGGAAGGAAAGACAGTCTTTCTCTCCCTCCTTCCTTCCCCTTTTCCTTCCCCTTTTCCTTCCTTCCTTTTCTTAGGTGCCTTTTACTTTTCCCTCTTATCTTTCTTTCTCCCTTCACCTCCTTCCACTTTGATATGAAGGTTGTTTACGGTTCAATTTACCCCCTGACTTCGTTTATCATGAAGATAAACTCACTGAAGAAAACTAGAAAATAAAGATAGGCCAAAAGAAAAAAAAAAAAATTCCACACCCACAGGTAACAATTACTGACATTTTTGTGTGTCTCTGTCTGTACCTGTTGGGGCAGTGTACCTGGCTCTCACACATACTGGCTGTGTGACCTTGAACAAGCTGCTTAACCTTTCCAAGTCTCAGTTTTCACATGTGTACAATGGGGATAAATTATATATATATATGGTCAAAGTATACCATATATATATATGGTTAAAATATACCATATCATTATTTATGTCAGGATTAAACAAGATAATATATGTAAATCACTTAGGACAGTGCCAAGAACAGAACAGATGTGCAATAAGTGGTCAGCATTACTAAGAATATCTGTTTAATCAAACATGAGATCATACCAACATTCCAAATTTGGTACCTGGTGCTTTGTTCAATGAAATACAAAACTCTTTGTGATTAAATATAGATCTGTATTGTCATTTTTGATATTTATTTCTTTTGTTTTGCATTTTTATTTTGAAATATAATGATGAAAGCATATGTTAAAAAATAATTACTGAACATAATATATTACTGCTACTTTAGATCTCCCAGAGGATTATAAACTTTCTCTGAGTTATCACCATTCTCACACATGAAAACAGGGCCACTAAAAAGTGACGTCTGGGCTAATGATGTGTTTGGTAGCCCCTTGCCTTTATAAACCCCAGATCCCCAAACCTAGGTGTATCATCAGGGCCTGGGACTAAGCAAGAGGCTTAATAAGCTCCCAAACAACCCACGCTAAATATAAACAGTATGACTCAACCAAGTATGAATTTTAGGCAGTGTTTTTGTAATTTTATTTGAGCAATTGCCTCTTTGGGGGGTTGTTGTTTGTCATTGTTGTCGTTTGTGTTGTTCATAAGAATTCAACTTGTATTGGATTTCGTAATTGAAAAATAAGAAATCAGAAAACAGTATAGAAAATGTAATTTCTGTTTACTCTTAGAAAACAGAACCTTAGAAACAACTTCAAGAGTAGAATCACAACACAGAGAATGAGTATTGAGTTCTTCAGTATTTGACTAGAATTTCCCTGTAGAAAAGAAATCGGGGAGGGCTCATCTGGGGGGACGTACCTAGGCACATGCACTCTTGGAGGGCTCCAACTAATAGCAGTAATAGTCACAGTCCCGCTATGACATCTGACGTGTCTATATGTTTCTGAATACATCTTCATATAGCATTCTGTAAAAATCAAACATAATGCTTATGAGTCAATTAAAGGAGACTTGATATAATAGAAATCTTCCTGTCAGCTGATAATATAGAAATCTTCCTGTCAGTTAGTAAGTCCATTCTATCTACTATAAGAAGTCCCTGACAGGGACTTCCCTGGCTGTCCAGAGGTTAAAACTCCAAGCTTTCACTGCACGGGGCACAAGTTCAATCCCTGGTCTGGGAACTAAGATCCCACAAGCTGTGTGGCCCCAAAAAACAAACAAAACAAAAAAAGCTCAGTAACTAAATAATATTTCCTGCACTATTAAAAAACAAAATAACATAAAAATCCATGATGAATAAAATATCAAAGTTAAAAACAGAAGACGTCTCGGACAAGGACAATTAGCACAGTCCCTGGCATTTCAGGCAGTGGTAAATAACCTGTTGAACTGACTTGGAGCTAAACTGCTGTAAAATGTGGTATGGAACTCTGAATTTGGTTTATTGGTTATGTGGAGAACGTGTCTTCAAAGTATCCTTCAGCTTAAAGCACATTTATTACAGGCTTACCAAGCACCAGATATTGTAATAGTTTTACTTGCCTGCCTCACTTTCCCCCTCTGACGCCTGCAAGGGAACTATCAGCATGACTTGACTCTTAAAGACAAGGAAACTGTGGCCGAGAGGTTAGTCGCCTGCCAAGGGCGCACATAGCAACAGGCGGCAGAGTGTGGGCCACCACTGACCGCGTCTCTCCCGAGGGGACACCCTGGAGCCGTCTGTGACACCAGGACCAAGTCCGGGCCCGCAGGCAGACCCTCCTGAAGCGCACTCATTGGTCAAGCTAAGACTGATGAGAAGAGTTAACATAACACAAATGAAGGTCATGAAGTATGTGAGCATTTTGATCCATAAAGTCGTTATTCCAATTTTTGTACAGTTCACAGTTCTCTCAGAGAACTTTCTCTCAGCCCTTTCAGAATACTTTCAGGCATCTGAGATAAGGAAGGATTGAGAGAGATCGCAGTAAGGTTTCTCCGTTTAGCTCCTGACTGTGAGAGCGCCTGAGGACAGGACTCAATGTCAAAATAATAATATAAAAACAAAGCATTTGCCACCATACTACAGATTTTACCGCATTCTCATCATATCTTCATAATTCCTAGAAGTATTTCTATCCTTCTACGGATCAGGAGATTGAGAAACTTACTCAGCCACTCCGCTGAGTTCCCAGGCTGACCCCATCCCTTCCTCTCTCTGGGAGCTCCAGCGAAGCTGGACTCCGCCGGTTACATTAGACTGCCTCTGTGGTGCAACCTCGGCAAAGCCCTGACGGGCACAGGCGCCCTTTCTGACCGCGTCTCTCCCGAGGGGACACCCTGGAGCCGTCTGTGACACCAGGACCAAGTCCGGGCCCGCAGGCAGACCCTCCTGAAGCGCACTCATTGGTCAACCTAAGACTGATGAGAAGAGTTAACATAACACAAATGAAGGTCATGAAGTATGTGAGCATTTTGATCCATAAAGTCGTTATTCCAATTTTTGTACAGTTCACAGTTCTCTCAGAGAACTTTCTCTCAGCCCTTTCAGAATACTTTCAGGCATCTGAGATAAGGAAGGATTGAGAGAGATCGCAGTAAGGTTTCTCCGTTTAGCTCCTGACTGTGAGAGCGCCTGAGGACAGGACTCAATGTCAAAATAATAATATAAAAACAAAGCATTTGCCACCATACTACAGATTTTACCGCATTCTCATCATATCTTCATAATTCCTAGAAGTATTTCTATCCTTCTATGGATCAGGAGATTGAGAAACTTACTCAGCCACTCCGCTGAGTTCCCAGGCTGACCCCATCCCTTCCTCTCTCTGGGAGCTCCAGCGAAGCTGGACTCCGCCGGTTACATTAGACTGCCTCTGTGGTGCAACCTCGGCAAAGCCCTGACGGGCACAGGCGCCCTTCGCACCTCCCACTGTCCCATAACCCCGCTCCCTTCCCTTCCCTCAGGGCATCCCTTTCTCCCAGGCTCCCGAGGAGCCTCATCCTGTCCAGGTTCTCCCTAGCAGAGAGGAGAACCTCCTGTCTTCTTGATGATAATCTACATCGTAAAATGAACCCGATACAGGCCAGGCCTGATGCTAGGTACAGGGAGACAAATATGAATAGGAAACTGACCACTGCAAAGAGCACACAGCTCAGCTAGGGGGAGCAGGAGGGGTGTTGCTATCCTAGACAATGGGCGTAACGAGCTGTTTTTATTTTTTAATAAATATAACAGCTGATAGATATAATTTGCAAGTCATATAATTCACCCATTAAAATAGTCCAGTGGTTTTTAACATATTCAGAGTCATGCAACCATCAACACAAGTGATCTCAGAACATTTTAAACACCCCCCAAAGAAATCCTGCATACATTAGCCTCTCCATTTCCACTACACCTCCTACACCAGCCCTAAGCAACTACTGATCTACCTTCCATATTTATAGATTCGCCTATTCTGGAGACTTAATATAAACGGAATTTTATAACATATGGTCTTTTGTAGCACAGTGTTTTCAAGACTCATCCATCTTGTAGCAATTATCAGTACTTCCTTCTAACTGTTAAGTAACATTCCATTGTATGGATATACCACATTTTTCCAATCATCCGTTGGCCAACATTTGGATGTTTCCACCATCTGACTATTATGAATAATTTTGTTATGAATATTCAAGTAAAAGTTTTTATGAGGACATATGTTTTAAATTCTATTGAGACTAACCTTAGTGGTGGAATTGTTGGGTTTAACCTTGTGAGGATATGACATGCTCTTTCTAAAGAAGCCGTACCATTTTCCATTCCCACCAGCAATGGATGAGGGCTCCAACTTCTTCATATTCTCATCAGCACTTGTTATTGCCTGTCTTTTTTGTCCTAGCCATCCTAGAGAATGTGAAGTGCAATCTATTTCATTGTGGTTTTGACTTGCGTCTCCCAATGACTAATGAAGTTCAGTTTTAGACACCTCGAGTTTGAGATGCCTGTGAAACATGTAGAAAGCTTCTAAAAATCCAGCTTTGAATTTAGTGGAAATTCTAAACTTAGGATAGATGCTGTAGTTACACTAGGAAGCCATCAGTGCAATAAAAGAAAGCATTCCTATTTGTGGAGTTTAGGCACCACAGCATTAAGTAGAAATTACTTGGGACATGGGGTTCTCCTAAGAATTTCAAAATTGAACCATATGGGCAACTACTCACTCTTCACGCCCAAGACTGGCCTTGGCAAACCTATGATCAGGTTTTTCATGTTTTGTGTTATGTCCAGGGACTTGCTGAATTAGACACCCTGCCTGTGGGTTTAAATTCTGACTTACACACTACATCCTGCTTGACTTGGGAACATTTACTTACCTTCTCTAAGTTTGTTTCCTTTGCTGTAAATGGAGAATAAGCATGTGTATCCCCATATTAAGGTTATTGTGAGGAATATAAAAGAAATAGAAAAGGGCTTGGTACATAGGAGGCACTCAGTTAATGAAGGTTGAATGACCGACTGAATCAATTCATTAATTAATAGAAATAATTGACAGAAAAGAATCTAGCACAGTGACCTGCACTCAGTAAGTGGTCAACAGTTACTATTCACACTCAATACATGCAAGCTGTAAAGATGAATGCACCACAAGGGCAAACATTCCACTGCTACCACCATCCTTTGACCAGAACAGAATGTAAATGGTAGATGTCTTCATATGTTCTGCCCCGTTGGCAGGTGGCTCCCCGTGGGCCTGTGAGACAGGAAGAATTCACGTCCTCAGTCACTCAGCTCTTTCAGCCAAGGAAACGTGATTTGTGAGCCGCTGTGCTCACCATCCTCTTCCATCAGGCCATTTATGGCCCTTACAATTCCCCTCTTGATGAGAATACATAAAATATTATTGGCCCTGTGTGCCTACTGTATAATACATGGAACTTACAATAGACATTATTAAATATTGTTAAATGAAGGGCTGAACAGGTGCACTAAAACGACAGCATGTAGAAAAGATTCATTAACCCCGCTGATGCCATAACAGGCTACATTTCCTGATTTCTCCTTGCACAAAAATCATTGTTAAATGGTTCAAAGAGGGCAAGCAGAAAGGAAGTTCTGGGTTAAGAGCACTGCCCTTGGGGTCAGGAGTCTGGGTTTATATTGTCTCTGGCCTTCACATTACCTTGAGTAACTCACTATACTCCCCTGAACATTGGTTTCACATAAAAAGTTTAACATGAGAGTTTGGACAGTATTGTGTCTAGGTTCTTTCCCAACTCTGGCATTCTTTGAATCCATAAAAATACTCCATGTAGAATTTATTTCTACCACTCATTTTTCCCCTCAGTGAATTCTCTCTTCATTTTATCTGCACTGTGTTTTCAGGTTGGGTTGGATGAAACATCAAACACAAATAATCTCGAGGTAGAGCTGCATAAATCGCTTTTATTTGGCACAGATACCTCAGCCAAGTGCAGAGGGCTTGGGCCGCAGAGTGAAGTGATGTGGATGACCGAGAATAAATGCTCTGAAGCTAGAAAGTGGGCTCAGTGGTATCACAACAGGCACGCTTCCACTCAGCTGAAGGGTCACCACTATTTCTACATTCAAAACCACTCCTGTTTCTGTTTCCACCTACTTCCTGTGCCCTGGTATCCACTTGTCAGCTCTCCACCGTTTCCTTCATTTCTGCCTGGTTCTCTTGCTTTCTTTCTCTTCAACGCCTCTGCCACCGAGCGCTCCCAATGGACATAACAGACACCATACGTGCTCAAGCGCGTGGAGCACGACCGGAAAAAGACAGGGGTTGATTCAGAGAAGACAGGAATGCGGAGAAGGGCTCTGCAGAGGACCCCAAGTCTCTGCCAAGGACATGTGCTCCTGTCACAGGTACTGGACACAGGCAGGCAGGCAGACAGACAGAACAGACACATCCTTTGCGCAAACCAGCCAGAAACATGTAGAGTACTTCAATTTTTTCAATATGTTATTTCAAATAATTT